CCACAGGTCTAGGACATTTTCAGGTGGGTAGTTACCGTTATAGAAGCCTTATAGAAGGTCTATGTACCTTATAGAAGCCTTATAGAAGCCCTATATACCCGAAACTCCCCACCTGTAGTTTCCTTTAAACAGGGGCTTCCGTGATCCAGTCTAGGCTTCGCAGAAAGAAGTGACACGTGTCAAGCTGGACATTGGCGACAATAGGCAAGAGGCCACACAGACCAAGAAGGACACGGACGCTTTAGGGGTTTAGGGTTTAGNNATATAGGGTATATAGCAGGTGTATGAGGATTTCAGGGTTGAGGGCCCTACCAGGGGCCCAGGGCTTCAACCTGCTTCGGGCTGGATCTGGCTTGGAGCTTAGAAGGGTTTAGGGTTTAGAGTTTAGGGGTTTAGGGGTTTTAGGGTTTAGAGTTTAAGGTTTAGGGTTTAGGATTTGGGGTTTTAGGGTTGTAGGGTTTAGGACTTGGGGTTTTAGGGTTTAGGGTATAGGTTTTGGAGGCTTTGTAAGTGCAAGAAAAATCGTCGTGATCAGCAGCTGCCGTAGCCCAATGCTTGAGTTGCTGCGGAGGTTCCTACTCCACAGCAGCTCTGTCTAGGACATTTTCAGGTGGGTAGTTACCGTTTTGGGAGCCTTACAGCAGGTCTATACACCTTATAGAAGCCTTATAGAAGCCCTATATACCCGAAACTCCCCACCTGTAGTTTCCTTTAGCGTAGGCTGCGGGGTGGGGATCTCGTTTTCGAGGGTTTAGGGTAGGGTTTACGACATGTTTTCAGGATAGACCCGTTTAAGCTGCAGGGCGACTAAAGGTTGTTTGGGTCTCTACTAGACTCTCCATGCTGTTCGTTTGCGTGCAAACCAATAGTTCAGCCGAAAGGACCCTGCAACATTGAAACCGCTACACGAGTTCCCAGCGCTAATCATCCTCGTGTTACAATGCTTTGTGTAGCTACTTGTCTTGGTTCACCTGCAGCGTTTGACTCTTGGAAACGGGTCCTTGCCAGGGCCTAGATCTGGGCAAATAACTGCCCGTATTGAAATATGAAATTACGCGGTACGAGATAAGAAATACTGTTGATGATATAAATCCTGCATTACCTTAAGGACCCTAAACTATGGGAAGTATGGTACATTATATTGCTTATTTTGGGTAATGCAGGCTTTTATATCATCAACCGTATCAGAATTTGGCCAGCAAGATCAGCTAGAATCCCAGGTAGTACTAGCGAGACCCTTTGAAGGGGACCCTTCTGAACGCTACTTGTGGTTCTCTTAAAAGGGACCTTCTTGAGAGGGTCTATATGCCCAAGGGTCCCCCTAATTCGGTTTACTATACAGTAGAAGCCAAAAAGTTGGAAACCCAATAGCCTCAACCCTTAAGAGTAATGTATAGGGAATCCCAGCACTATTTGTCCTTAATCCGGGTTTCCAACTTTTTGGGCTTCTACTGTAGAAGCTTGAAATCTCGACCCCCACGCGCCGAGCCCAGGTTGCAGGTCATGCTCTTGCGGGTGACGCAGCAGATGTATTGCCCAAGTCTCAGTTCGGGTTTAGGGTTTAAGGTTTAGGGTTTAAGGGGTTTAGGGTTTAGGGCTCAAGCTTTAGGGATGCAACCCAGCCTAAGCACCGAAAATTTCAGTGACCCGAACCCTAAACCCTTCCCTCGCTGCGAAAAAAAAGCCCTGCGTGACAGGACGACCAACGAGATCTTCATAGGCGGAGTCTGAAACTCGCCCCAAAGCCTTACCGAGCCAAAGGCCCTATAAGCTTACAGGAATCCCTAAGAAGGATCGAGGTAAGTGAGAGAAAGGCCGTGTCGGAGATCATGGGCTCGGGTGGCATGCGCATCTGTGGCCTGTGACCGCATGCTGCCCTGTTGCCAACTCCTGGTCCATGATGTGGGGGTTTCCGAGGATAGGGGACCCTAATATTGTACCCTAAATAGTAGGATCCTTATTGTAAGGACCCCAAAATAAGGTACCCCTAATTGTCGGAAAGTCACATGTCGAGTTTTGACATGCTTTGACTTTACGGTGCTCCCAAAGCTTTCCGAGTCCGCGCGTCCTGATCCTCGCTCGCCGTGGTGCCATCATGTCTTACGTTGTGAAGTTCTGGGATGCATCTGATTTTTGCTTCCCTTGTCGAACCGTGCCTCTTCCGGACTTCTTGAAGAAGTCTGGAGTCGAAGAATCAGACTGGACCGAATTGCTGGGCTCCTTGCGTTCCTGCAGGAGTGTGCGGGAGAACCTAGGTAGCGATTTGGGAAACTTTAAAATTTCCCTTATGTTTCTTATAGAGGTACCTATTCATAAATTACCTTACAGGGCCCCAAAACTGCAACCCAGGAACCCATTTGCCTTCTTCTTCTATTTGGTGTGCCATATACTTTTTCTGGGCGCTGCCATCCATGGAGCCAATCATCGCAAGATCGCGGAAGTAATCACGCAGGCCGAAGACGGCTTCAACCAGAAGTGCTCAAAGAAGCTGGGTCTTTTTGTATCTCGGTATGACACCAGTATGTTATTTGTTTTAATCTTTTCCTTCACTGTCAGCCCTCAGCCCTAAACTCTACACCCCATGCAGACCCTCTCCCTACACCCTAAACCCCTAAACCCCTAAACCGTGCAAGGTATTCGTAGACTGGGAAAGTGGCGAGTTGATATTCCACCGACGGCGGGTGCCAGCCAACCTCCGCAAGAGAAGTCTTGGTATCAAGCCCTGACAGAGACGCTCGGTTTAGGGTTTAGGATTTAGGGGCACCAAGCCATGACAGAGACGCTCAGATTGTTTAGGGTCTAGAGCTCAAGGTTCAGTGATTCAGGGTCTAGGGTTATGACCGTGACCCTGTGGCTGGGTATAGCGTTTGTTTGGGTAGACTAGAATATGCTACACAGTTAAGTGCTATAATCGCATATATCGTGACGTAGTACAGCGGACCATGATCATGAACTTTCTAAGACTTTAAGAGTTTTTTAGTTTTGACAACATAATGCAAACCAACAGTGTAGTTTGTGATATACTGTAACATGATGTACTCTACCATCTTATAGTCGGCTATAGAACGAAACAAGACCAAATATGCCGTTGCAATATATTATTAAATATCAGGTACTGTTACATAATACGACATACCAGAGTACGATGTGACATAGTCAAGTATGGTATGACATGTATTGAAACTGGTGTGCTATGAGCTAGGACAAAATAAAGTATGATAGAGTGGAATATATACACCACGCTACAATAGAACATAATACATATTATAGAATGGAAAAGATAAGAATAGTACCATACTGCATTCGAATGTTTCGAAACGGTTTGACATCCTATAGTATCCTATAGCATTTTGTTGTGATAGATTGCAAAAGATTGAGGTACATTCCAGTATATTCGAGCATAGTGAAAGATACGGTTGATGACATGAACCCTGCATTACCCATAACATGGAATATACCGTAATTCCCATAGTTTTGGGTGCTTAAGGTAATGCAGGATGGATGTATATTATCAACCGTAGTTTATGTTGGGATGCAGAAGCGGATACATCTTGGTAGCACGCCATTTCACCGAACTTAGGCCTGTACTGCTATCGGGGCCTGAACTGCCGGTATGCGTTCATCGGGATTGGAGGGTTTAGGGTTTAGGGGTTTAGGGGTTTAGGGGCTTAGGGTTTAGGGTCATTGCTGAGATTCTTAGGTCACCGAGCCAGGATAGAGAGAGCGTGAGAAAGTTTCGAACCTTGGAGCATATATCCTGCAGCCTAGAATCCCTGGCTGCCTAAGGGTCCATGTACCCAACTAGATATACTTCGAACCCAAAGTACCCAAATAGCGACTACTTTAAGGCCAAAGTATATCTACTTGGGCACATGGACCCTTAGGGGCTGCAAGGACCCTAAACCCTAAACCCTAAACCCTAAACCCTAAGGAAAGGCATGGACGTGCTGGAGCAGGCGAAACACGCAGTGGGCCTTGGGGCAGGCGCAGAAGATCCTACGGCCAGCCACATTCTGAGCTTCCCGGTGCATACCCAGGACCATGCGGGGGTTTAGGGTTTAGGGTTTAGGGGTTTAGGGTTTAGGGTTTCGGGTTTGGGGTTTAGGGGTTTAGGGTTTAGGGTTTGAGTTTAGGGTATCATGGTAGGATGCATGTTTCACCTTAAACCCTAAACCTTCAGTGAAGGCTTTCATTCCATGGTGCACCTTAATAACCCTAAACCTTCAGTGCATGTGTTCATTCCATGGTCCACCTTAAGAACCCTAAACCTTCAGTGCAGGGCAAACCCTAAACTTCCCAACCCCTAAACCGCATTCAAGCGATTGGCAGGACGATGCGGTGTGCGCCCAAGCTTGTTGCCCGATGCAGCTGGGATTCGAGATCCTCTCAACTCGAAATCCCTGAACCCCGAACCCTAAACCTGTAACCCTACCTTAACCTACCATGCCCTTCTTATTATGACGAACCCTAATATAGAATTTATAGAGACCCTACAAAAAATAGGAAGGTAGTGTGCGCTAAGTACTACCTTGAAGCCCAGCCTCAACACTCAAGCGCCCTAAACCTTGACTTCTCAAAGCCTACAGGATTTAGGATTTGGGGTTGAGGCTGAGGCGCCTTAACGATTCGAAAAAGGATAATGCGCGGTGTTGTAGGGCTTTAGAAGGCTTCGTATGGGCTTGTATCATTCTGCAAGGTGTTAATGTAGGAGCCTCGATGGTTAGAAAAGGGGTTTTGGGCATAATATGTGTTGTATATCGGGACTATCCGGGCATGATCTTAGGTTTTTGGTGTGCACCACGCTGAGGGTTTTTGGTTTAGCAAAGTTTAGGGTTCATGAAGGTTTAACGGCGATCAGCCAAGGTAGATGCAGGAGGATACTATTGCAGCCACTATAGTTGTTCAACCCTGGACCCCAAACCCTATTACAGCTTAAGCCCTTACCTCAACCTAAACCCTGAAACCCTAAACCCTGAAATCCTCGGCCCTAGACCCCCAAACCCGCAACCCTGAAACCCTACACCCTAAGCCCTAAACTTGCTTCCCCAAACCTTAGCCCAGTCAGCTGAGGCCCCGACTTCCCATTCGGGTTTCGTGTTTTAGGGTTTAGGGTTTACCTGGGGCCCGAAAGCCCTACATACCTTCCAAACGAGCCTCATAGAGAAAACCATAATGAGGAACCCTACAAAGGTAGGTTTTTTCTTCGGCTACAGGGAGTGTTTGGGGTAGATTCTTTGGGATTCAGTGTTTAGGGGGTTGAAGGCTTAATATTTAGGGTACCAGGGTTTGGGGGTTTAGGGTGTAGGCCCTAAACCCTAAACCCTAAACCCTAAACCCCCTACGGTGTAGGGGTAGTGTGGAGTTCTTGCTGAGTACACCTGCTTCATCCCTAGCCCTAGGCTTCCTTCTTATGTATTGCTCTTCCAAAGTGTACCCGCAACACCTCACTTCAGCCTATTCTATAATATATTTATGTATGTATGTATGTATGTATGTATGTATGTATGTATGTATGTATGTGTGTATGTGCATGTGCATATATATATGTGAAAAACTCATGAACTGTCGGTATGTATGTTTATAAATATATGGTTAGATAGATAGATAGATAGATAGATAGACAGACAGACAGATAGATAGATAGATAGATTGATATGTAGATAGATAGGTAGATAGATAGATAGATAGATGGATAGATGTTGCCCACATCGTACGCAGCTTCTATCGGAGCCTGGGATGGTTTTTGGAGAGCGTATGGCAGGGTTTTTGCGCAAGATCCACCATCGAACACTACGTTGGTGTTTATTTTCCTAAAACCCTATAAGCACTATAAACTCCTAAACCCCCAAAAAATAATACCCTGAGCCACTAAATCCCTAAACCCTAACCCCGTAAGCCCAAAGCCCATGACCCTGAACTACAATCCTGTCCCAGCCTGCCTGACCCTGCCGTGGCAACTCAGGATTGACCGCCAAGTGCTTCCGATTCCTTACCCGAGTTTCCTGAGTACTGCGGTGGTCGGCAGGTGGGGAGTTTATGAAAAACTGGATGCCCCTGACTTCGTGCCAAAGTATCGTTACTAGACGAGCTGCCGGCATGGTCCTGAGTGCAAGGTCTTTAAGGTACGGTTGGTGATATAAGTCTTACATTGCCTTAAGGACCCTAAACTATGGGAATTATGGTAATATTCCTTATCATGGGTAATGCAGGGTTTATACCATCAACCGTATGAAAGAGGAACGTTGGCATTGACAGCATGTGTATTGACGCCCCTTGAAAAAAAAGGGCCCGAACACTCCACCCTAACAGTTAGGTCTGAGTGGGAGCAGCTTGTGGGCGCTATTGCAGATGGCATCAATACTGCATGGAGTGTTTTTCGATGTTCGAGCCTCATGTCAGCGTATGGTGTGATCTGGCTGATTGGCCGGTTAATCTGCATCATGGGCCCAGTCAAGAAGAAGGTGCAGGAGTTCAAAGACAAGTACGAGGAGCAATTGGCCTGGCAAATCAGATTAGATTGGCAAATGCGCCGATTTCTGTTCCACCCAGCAGTCGTAGACGAGAGCAGCTTCAACCCTCCCATCGTGAAAGAAGACGAGATCGCCCCGGATCTTGAAGCCCAGAAGGACGCTGAGCCAGCCCCCATTCTGGTAGTTGGAGTGACTCAGCAGTCGAGTAAGTAAGCTTTGCTTTTAGTTGTAGTAGATCTTGTCTGGGGTTCGGGTTTGTGTTTCAATAAGAATGTTATTTGGCACCCCTGGGAAACTGGACCCTAAACCCTAAACCCTAGCAAGGTGATCAGCAAACCTGACCAGATCGCTATGGACAGCCATACGAACACCCCGGCCCCGGAGAAGCAGGACGAGGTCGAAGCAGACGACACCAACGAAGCGAATCAAACGAACGAAGGCAATGCGACCAATGAGTACAGCAACGTCTCTGAAGTCATCACCCGCATTTGAATTCGTACCGCCTTAAGGGCTTAACTGTTCCGAGTTGCGGAGTGGTGCGGGGGCTTCTGATGTGTCTGGGCAGGTTCTGCAAAAGCCCTAAACCCTGCAACCCAAGATCTTGAACCCTCAACCCCAGAAAAAGCAAAAACACGACACCCTACATCCCAAACCCCCGACACCCTACCTCTTAATCCCGCCACCCTAAATTCTACACCCGAAACTCTAAATCCTAAACAATCAAGTCAACCCTTAATCTTAGCACCCGAGACCCTAAATCCACACCCGAGACCCTAAATCCTATTTCCTAAACCCTAAATCCGAAAACCTTAAATCCTAAATCCCAATCTCTAAACCCTGTGTCGTGTGTGGATCGTTCTGGGCCCCGGTCTTGTTTAAGTTCGGGATCTTATTACAATTTCAAACTTAGGGTCCAGGGTTTCAAAATTATAGGGTTAGTGGTTTCGGGTTTTAGGGTTTGTGGTTTAGGGGTTCAGGGTTTAGGGTTTTTAAGTTTCGGGTCCAGGGTTTATAGGTTTTAGTGTTTGTGGTTTAGGGGTTCAGGGTTTAGGGTGTTAAGTGCCTTACTTGAGAATCCGCAGATTTCAAGCCCCTATGACTGATATAGAAGCTTGACGCTCAATGAACAGTATCAAAATATGCCCAGAGTTCTTCTTCCGGGTTCCTGTTTTCCAGCATACTATTATGATATTCACCAAATCTCCGTTCTAGTTTGTAAGGCCTTTGAATTACGTGTCTTGCCTGCAGTATCCAGGAACCTGAGACCCGACACCCTACTCCAGGCGCGTATTGAAAGGCACCCAAAGGGGCAGGCATGGCCAACCACCGTAAACCCTAAACCCTAAGTCCTAGACACCCGAAACCCTAAGCCCTAAACCCTAAGCCCTAAACCCTAAACCCTAGGCCCAAAACCCTAAACCCTAAACCCCAAACCCTATTCCGAAACGAGCCTTCAACACCCTAAACCCCAAGGATCCCCTAAACCCTGAAGCCTGAACCCATAAACCCCTAAAGCCTGTAAGCCTACACCACTAGACCCCTAAGCCCTGAAGACCCTGCAACTCTAGGACATTTTCAGGTGGGTAGTTACCGTTATAGGAGCCTTATAGAAGATCTATGTACCTTATAGAAGCCCTATAGAAGCCCTATATACCCTAAACTCCCCACCTGTAGTTTCCTTTAAACCCTAAACCCTAAATCAGAATGAGCCCCGAGCCCTCCCTCATGGAGCGATGCTGGAATCTCCAAGAAGCTCCATGCTTTCTCTTGATGAGGAAAATCCTGCATTACCGACCCTAAAATTTGGGAATGGTGGTATATTCCTTATTATCCCTAAACCCCAAACCTTGAACCCTAAACCCTCAACCCTCAACCCTTAAGAACCCTAAGCTATGGGAATGATGTTATATTCCTCATTATAGGGCAATGCAGGGATTTTATATCATCAACCCAAAACCCTAAACTCTAAACCCCTAAACCCTAAACGCTAACCCTAAACCCTAAACGCTAACCCTAAACCCTACACCCTAACCCTAACTCTAAATGGGGTAATGCAGGGATTTATATCATCAACCCTTAAGAACCCTAAACTATTGGAATGATGTTATATTCCTTATTATAGGGTCATGCAGTAATGCAGGGATTGTTCATCATCAGCCGTTTCTCTTGGGTGGATAGGATTCCCGAGGTCGCCTGGTAGCCGCACGACGGCCTTTAGAGGGTCAGAGGACCACGGTTCAGGGGTTTAGGGTTTGGGGTTTAGGGCTTAGGGTTTTAGGGGTTTAGGGTTTTGGTTTAGGGTTTAGGGTTTTAGGGTTAAGGGCTTTGGGTTTGGGTTTAGGGTTGAGGGTTTTAGGATTTAGGGCTTAGGGTTGAGGGTATAGGGTTACAAATCTCAGGGATGGACCTTTACTAGGTCCCTGAGCGGTACCCTTTTGCCCTTTTTACTTTAGGGCTCCCTATTAAAACCGAATAGTAGGAAAAAGGGTACCCTTATTGTAAAGAGGCTACTCAGGAACCAAGTTTAGGAATTAGGGTTTCTGGATCTTCTCATGTTGTGTACCCCGGAGTTCGACAACACAAAAACCGAGGCGTGCCTCCTGGCATCAACTGATCCACAGAAAACCGACGAGCTTTCGCCCTAAAGCCTAAGCCCTAAACCCCTAAACCCCTAGACCCTACTACTTTGAATCTCCCAGCTGAGTTGCTGACAGGGGTCTGGGGTCTCGCTTTTCGACATTACCGACAGCTTGCAGTCTTGCATCTTCTTTGGGTTCAGGGGTTTAGGCTTTAGGATTCTTTAGGGTTCAGGGCTTGAGGCTTGCATCACATACTTGTAAGAAGGAATACACTTACGAACAGCCCGGACAAGGGCTACTTGGCGACCTGCGTCCTGTTTTCAGTGAGTCGGTGAACCTGAAACCCTGGAGCAAGCAATGTCTCACCGAGCGAATTCTTGCACATGTAGGTTTAGGCTTTAGGGTTTTCATCCGAATGCGATTTTCGACACAGCGCTGAAAAAGAAGCTATAGAAGTAGGTAAACCCTAAACCCTAAACCCTAAACCCAGGGATGTTGGCTGAGCCGTAGCCCTAAACCCTTGGTTCCCGAAGCGCCACAGCTTTTACTGACCGGTTTCGCCCTCCCCTGCCCACCCCAGAGAGCCCAATACCCCTTAATTAAGGAATATACCTTAAGCTACAAGGGCCTTAATACTATGATTTAAGGTATATTCTTTTTTTTAAGGGGTATTGGGTTCTCTGGGACCGTCTCAGGGGTTTCGTAGCGATGTTGGATTTTTCAGGGTGTGGGTACAGCTCCCAAGCACATCACAAGCTCTTCCATGCAATCCTGGACATGTAAAACAAACAGCATAGCACTAGCAAGAGACGTAGTGCCAGCAATGGTCACAACTGACAGAGCATTGATAGTTGAGTTTGTTTCATGAAAAGCTTAACCACATCAATGCGAGTTCATGATCCCGACCACCATAGCCGACAAAGCATCATTCACAACAAGAACGATTTAAACCTAAACCCTACGGCCTAAACCCTAAACCTAAAGCCATGGTAGTCTTTTGGCGACGTCTGTACTGGACAAAACTTGCGTGGCAGCATGGTCATGAAGTCATGGCAGCAGAGCGTTTCAGCAACAAAAAATTGAAAGGTCCAAAACCGGATCTCATATAAGCCCAACTACAAGCACTCTGCTGGATCAGCTATGGACAATCCGGTTCCCTGTTTCAGCATTTTGCCGTGCCGTTCGACTTTCGGACCTGCAATGCTTCCCTAAGCCAACTGTAGGGTCTAGTGCTTGAGTTTGAGGTTTCGGATATGCGGTTTAGGGGTTTAGGCTTGCAAACCCTATAAACTACCGCTCACTGTCTCAGCTTGTTTACAGGTGCTTCCTGCACAAGGCCCTGTGTGTAAAGCCTGGTTTCCACAAACACCCCTCTGAGCGTACCCTAAACCCAAACCCCAAAGCCGTAAAACCCTAAACTTGGCCCTAAACCCTACACCCCTAAAGCCCTAAACCCCTAAACTCCTGCGGCTTGGGGTTTAGGGCTTAGGGTTTAGGGAACCCAAGACGTTTTCCGAATCACCTCTCCACTCCCGACTCCTTCCCTCCGAAAGAGTCCAAGATCACACCAAGAAGAACCCTTCTTCGACAATCCTACGTCAATTGCACAAAGAGCGACTGCTTAGTCACCTAAACCCCAAACCACCATAAACCTCCAAACCCCAGCCCGCGAAGCCGAAGCAGTAGAGTGTCAGCCTTGATCTGTGAGCCTTTCGAGCCTTCGCGTATGGCTTGCAGCTACCCTAAACCCTAAAGCCTTAAACCCTGAACCCCAAAACCCCAAACCCTTAACCCTAAACCCTGAACCCTAAACCCTGAACCCGAAACCCCAAAGCCCTTAACCCTAAACCGAACCCCTAAACCCCTACACCCTAAACCCTAAAGCCATAGAAGCCCCAAGCCCTAAACCTCCTAAGGCGAAGCATGCGCTGGAGTGGTGCCTTGTGAGTGCCCCAGTTTCGCTGCGGGTGGTCGCTTGTAATTTCGGGGGCCTCGGTGTTTAGTATAGATTCTGCATTGTTGTTTACAGTATAATCACAATCGTTTCCCCTAAGATTTAACGGAGGGGGGGGGCCCGAATGAAAACTCGGTAAGTGCTTTTGTGTTGTTGGGGCCCGACCAGGTGCCATATGGTTTCTTTGTGAGGGTTCGTTAAAGGTTCTGGATGCCAGGGCTCTACAATGCAACTGTAACCCTGAACCCTAAGCCTTAAACCCAACCCACTAAACCCTGAACCCTAAACCCTAAACCCCGCCCTAAACCCTGAACCCCGAGAGTGGAGGCATGGCTGCTGGACCTCCTAGCGAGGCAGAGGAGTCTTGGGGCCCAGCTTCCAGGGCTGGAGAAAACCGTAGGATGAGTAAAAAAACGGGCCTTAATACTTAGAATAGGGTTTGGAGTATAGTCTACTATAACTATAGTAAGGAAACCCCAAAACCCTATTCTAGCTATTAAGGCCCCTACATTAGAGTTTCACAGAGGGTTTAGGGTTTAGGGTTTCGGGATGAAAGCTATTTTCACAGAGGGGGAAGTTCAAGCCTAGTAGTAGAGTAGGTAAGTTAACTTTTCTAGTGTACTACACTCCCTAAATAGCCCCAAAGATGCCTCCAAAGGCTAACCTGTAATTCCCCAGGACACTGGACAAGTAGGGTTTCATAGAGGGGCAGTACTAATTGCAATGGTCTCTGTTTGGGGTGTACATACTATAGTAGAACCATTTAAGAACTATAAGGGAGTGTTATTAAGGGCAGGGTTTCAGGGTTATACATGTTCTTTAAAAGCTGTTGATTTTTTGCTGGGGAGCTCGTAAAGTTCCCTAAACCCTAAACCCTGTATAGTTTCAGCAAAGTATGTAAGAAACCCTTGGTTTGACCCGAACCCCCGCCTAAACCCAAACCCTAAACCCCTGAACCC